ATGAATCACTTCAAAAAGAGTGTACGAACATCAATTAAAGTCCAAAGACTCCATCCATTCGGTGCATAGCCCTGCAGGTAGACATTACTTCCTCCAAAATAGAGACGTAAACAGAAGTAGATAATATAGTTAACTTTATACAGAATAAAAACTGTGCTGAGATGTTGGCACGAAGTGGAAATCAAAACCACTTCCTTCCCGTAGTTCAAATGGCGCGGCGTTGCCTACTAGGGTACTTAGTTTTGGGAGTCAGATTGGAGTTAGGCTTTAGGTTAGGATTCGTTTCAGGGTTATGGTTAGGACATGGAGTTTCGTAAAGTACCTTGCATATAGCACATAGCCCCTATAGTTCTGAGGGGTTCAAGGTCCCCCATTTTACCGGGAAGACCTATGTCGGCAGAAGCATTTAAAAGGGTAACTTTTAAAGCATGAAATGGGCCGTCATTTAATTTCGTGCACACGTTAATCGCACTGGTTAAAGGGGAAGGCAAACCACAGAAAGGGTGAAGGATGACTGAATACTCCCTAGAATAAAATAGAAGACGTTGGTGCAAAATTTATTTCGCACTGGTTTGTAACTGAAACATATAGGTTTAACTGAGATAACATCTCTTTGATGCAAAGCCCAAGTTCCGCAGTCCAAAAATATTCAGCTTAAATACCATTTCAGTTGTAATGGTAATGTGTTGCTCTATTTTGCCAGTCCAGTAGATCTGTACTCTCTTTATCATTTTGAACTCATTTGCACACTGTTAGAAGATATTGATTTATTTTCCATTCTTGGTTTTTAATGCTCGTCTGTTTTGTGGCTTTTTTGCTAGTACCTGTTATTTCCGATATGAGAAATAATTTCGTGAATTGTAATTCTGACTGTCTGTTTGCAGCTTGTGAACATTACGCCGTTATTTCAAAGTGGCTGATGGAGTTCGGCTCAATTATTTACATCAAATTTAGGGCTGTTTTGTATAAATGTAATGATCAAGTACAATTAAAAAATTAACTGCTGAGGACAATTTGGGTTGATTCAATTGTAAAAAAAACTCGAGGCGATCGGTGGGATTTGAGCCCGATAGTAGTCGAAAAGGTCTTTACCGGAAGCCAACGCTCTAACCACTTGAGCTAGAAACGCTCCACTTCACGCCATGAATTTAATCACACTTGGGTCGATTTTACCCGCCTAACTTTACCGCTCGTATGGAATCCACCAATACGAAGCAGCAAGCTGACTGCCCAAGTGGGATTTCCTAAGCAGTCATCTAGAATCCACCCGAATGACTACTAGGCTGACTTAATTATTAGGTTTGGCAGATTTGCTTGATTTGAGTTGAATATGCAGGTTCAAATCCCGCCGAAGGCCTCGAGTTTTTTCACAATTGGGTCAACTAAAATTAAGCAAATTTGCCAAACCTCCTAATAGCTGAGGACAATATCTAGCCTAAAATCTCAATGGAAATTTTCGTGGAACAGTGACTTGATCACTCACGTTTCCTCCCTAAGTACTATCCGGCCACTAAAATTGTGCATTCCTTCTATCACCAAATTAACAACACGCTTCGAGTATTTGCTCAGGTGCCATTTATGTTTACTGCCTTTCAAAAGGAAACATCGATCCGAAGTTGAATTCTTGTGTTTGAATTATTTTCAAACTGCATTTTTACCAGGTTTGTTGGCTACATCATACCACTATAAGTCAGCTCATGAGATAGGCTGCTGGTTATACTTAATCAAAATTGCATGCCGTAATTGCGTTCAAGAAACCATGAACAGAACACTCCTAAAAACCACAAATGACATTCCATTTTGAATTATGACGCAGCCTTAGGAGTTTTTTCACTGTCTGCTCTTCTTCCTCAGTTGCACTGCTGGCTCATGTTAACTGAGTGTGAGTGTATTACTTGAAACAAACGAGTAGTCGTCTACAATTTTGTCAACGACTTCTTTGGAATGTTCGGCTATGCCGATGCATTTCTTTAATGTAAACGACTTCTTTGAAATGTTCGGCTGTGCCGATGCATTTCTTAAATACTATGTACCAAGAGGGAGTTAAAGGCGTTTTCCTATATTTCCTTTAATAAATTTGACTTGCCTTGACTTGACTCAGACTAGCAAACATCTTCAACAAACCCACAGAGTTCCTATCGATCTATTTGGCGGCGATAAAGTATGTATCCTTTTTGAGCGCATATGGCAACTCATTGTTAACTTCGACTCTCAGGAGATTTGCTTTTTTTAGTAGAGTTGCGTTTTAGGCAGATAGAGGCAGTTGGATCTTCTCGCACCCTTCTTACCTAGAAATTGTGAAGTTGAATCGCTCTACCGTGCTTGATGTTTTCATTTCAGACAAAAAAGGAGATTTAAGAATAGTTCACCAGCTTTATGTTTTTCTTTGCTCTTAGACTGAGAATTTATTTGATGTAAATTATGTTGACAACATGACTTTTCCCCTGTTTAAGCACATCGTTTTCTGGCACTCCCTTTCGGTAAGGAATCCTTATAAACATCACCATACTAACAAAAAATCCAGTCTTTCATAATACGGAACCGATTATCATAGGAGTTATGGGCTTGGGGTATATCAAGTGGTAGGAAAAAATAAAACAACTAAATAATAGACTAATAAACCTGCAACTAAACTAAAACGTAATTTGATTTAACTTAAGCTAAAATAAATTACCTAAGCTAAAATCTAAATAATAACTTAATGCTTGAAATAAACTAAGTAGTGAACTCCAACGAGATAATTTGTTAGTTATTTATAGTTAAATACGATGGTGAATATAAGGAACCCGTACCTCCTTTCAAAGTTAATTAAGAATAGCTCCTAACGGAAGTGTCCATAATCGTCTTGCAGACATCAGTGGCTATTATAATCATCTCAAAAGGGAAAAATTTGACGATGACAGGTTTTTTATTAAGAAACAGTAACTTTTAATAAACATCCCAGACTTGTAATGGAACTATGACCAGACTGTGTTTTTTGACAGTCAAAATGGAAATGAACAGGGACTGTAACAAATAGAGCATCTCCAGTAACCAAACATGGTCAGAGTATGATTACACGTAAACTGTCCAGTCCTTTTCAGTGGTTTTATTGAGAAAGTCACTCTGAAGTGCTTTGGACAGAAAAAAGTGGATTTATTTATATATTTTGTACTTTTAAAGCGTCTGAGTTGTATTGGTGCTTACAGTACTACAGTCATTTGGTCGAATCCGATGTTGTACGAGAAGACAGAAGGCAGCTGGATGGGGGTTTTTTGTGCACATAACCCCGAGTTGCTTTCGCAGGCAGTAGTGGTTACTGGCGAAGCCAGGGCCAATATTAACTGCGTCCAGTCACGCCCGTGTTTGCGAAAGAAAGAGAGACAACAGTCGAACTAATTTCAGATGATAGTGAAGCAAATTCAAGAAGTCAGCAGTTGGTGCGTTGCCTTACACGGGAAAGTGTCGTCTATAGTGGCGCATGCTGCGTCAGTTGAGGAAGTGGCGTGTTCAAGTGGCCCTTGGGCAGCCGTGTCTATCTGGACGCGCGTGTGCACGCGAGTGAAAGTCGATCAAGGATCTTCAGGTCAGTGAGGCGGAAGGCGCTCCCTGTGAAGTCGCATGAAGTTGAGGCAGCGGCCATTGAACAAAGAAATCCGAGAGCATTATTGCCTGTCCGCCACAGATTCACTTTACGATGGCGAGTCGTTTATGTGCCCCCTCTCTCCCCAATAATGCAGTTAAGTGTGGACTTAATTTCACAAGGGGTATCTATCGTCGTTTCCTAACCCTAAAACCAACCCTACTTTTCATTCAGGTTAACATAGCGCCGCCTATTTTATGCGGCTTTCCTGTTTTCTCATGCTGCTGGCGCCACATAAATGATCCTAGCCGAGTTTAGTTTTGATGCCAACTATAACTTTGGATAAAATTTGTTTGAACAACTGTTCTTTACAAAGAAAATCCTCCACCGCTGTTAGTAAACACTCCGAGGATTCCGCTTCTTCGAACGTGCGAAAAAATAACCCAAAAACGTATGGTAGAAAATGCAAGAACGAAGAAGCAGATCGTTTTCATTTGTGTTCTTAAAATGTTTGGAAGGGTTTCAATAGCAGGGGCAGCGAACACTGACCGAAGACTGAAGGCTGTGCGTCCCTAGGGATCCAATCAATCCCATTCGCTCGTAAGTAATTATGCAAGGCAAAACTTGAAGTTCAGGCGCTAGTTCTGCAGAAAGGCAGCTTATTCACTTCTTTCCTCTCGCTACGACTTTCGGTATAAATGCATCTCTGCCTCTACATTTAAATTGTTCTGCTTCCATTGATATTCATTCTGGCATGGGAAGGCCTCATCGCAGTTTCTTTACTAATGACTTTTTGGGTCATATGCAAGGCTCGCGGCTCGTTGAGATGGCCACAAAATGTGTGGCTTGCGCACTTAATGGCGGGTAGTGGGGACGCTACGATTGTTTTTCGCGTGCTGTCCGTACAAGGGTGCAAAAATGCAGCCTCTAACGATTGCAAGAAGTAGAATGATGGATGACACTGTTGTAGAAACTGGGGCCAGTCTGTTTCCGCAATTGGCTGGGAACTTTGAGACTTGGACAGCCAATCTAATACGCATCGAGATTAAAATGATGGTCGTTGATGAACTTTCATCGGTAGCTAGCGGAACTCACTTGTCTCGATCTGCCCTGGGGCTCATTTTCGAGGCTTGCTAGCAGCCGCACAGCGGTTAATAGTTTATGCAGACAGTGGAGACTGGAATGGCTATTCCTGGCTTATTAGTCCTCAGTAGCCAGTCATACATAACCACCGGTGACGCACCACTGGGGGCTCAAACCCGCGAACTTTTAATGGAACCGCGGGTGTTGAACCACTTGGGGTTGGCTGATGACGGCTAATGGGCCAGAAATGGCCCTTTCAGTCTCCTATGTCT